CTCGGCCGCGCGCGCCTCCCGCATGCCAGAACGGAAAAGCCCACGGAAGAAGCCGCAGTGCTCCACCAGCAGCGACTGCTCAGCCTGGAAGAGTTGGCCATCCACCCACACCTGCACCGGGACCTCGGGACCTGGGGGCATGATGAGCCAGATGGGTGGAGGCTGCTGCCGCTGGGGGCGCCTAGATTTGCCTGGGGCTACTGACTCTGGGGCTACCCCGAAGCGGGGAGGGGAAAAAAAAAAAAACCTTCCCTGGGGGATATAAATACCTTCCTGACTAAAGATAGGACGGCTCATGTGATGTGGCCGGCAGGCTTGGATGGCTGCCTGGCCCAGAGGGCATCTGGACACCTGTGTGGTCATTTACTTCTGTTAAGAGACTAGTGACAAGGGCCAGTGAAATGGTCCAGCAGGTAAAAGTTCTTTTCTACAAGCCTGATTGACCTGGGTTCAACCTGGAACCTATATAAAGTTGGAAGGGCAAAACCCACTCCACAAAGTTGACCTTTGTCCTCTGTTTTCACGCTGTGGCATGCATCCCACCTCCACAGAGACTCAGTTACCTTTTTTTTTTTTTTTTTTTTTTTTTTTTTTTTAATAGTGACAACACTAGACCATATAGTGAATACCCACTGCATGCTGGGCCCTGCCAGAACTACTTGTAAAGATATCCTATTTAACTGGCATCATACCAAGCCGTGTTCCTGTATACAAAGCTCTATTTCCTCATCTTTGAAATGGGGCCAATAGAGGGGCTGGAGAGAGATGGCTCAGTAGTTAAGAGCACTGCTCTTCCAGATGACCTGGGTTCAATTCCCAGCACCCACATGGCAGTTCACAACTGTCTGTAACTTCAGTTCTCAGGGACCCGATACCCTCACATAGACATACGTGCAGGCAAAACACCAGTGCATATAAAATAAATAATTTTTTAAAATGGAGTCAATAGAAACACCTATTTACAGTATTGGGACAGATTCCATAAGGTGTTCTGAATGAGGTCCAGCAACTTTATGTGACTTGTCCAAGGTTATTCAGCTGGGGACAAGTTCATCAGCTCAAAAGGGTGGGGCAGGCAGGTTGAAGAAAGAGACCAAAGTGGAGCATCAGGCCGGGATTCTAAAGTGTGCCCCTGCCCAAGCTTGCACTTAGCCCAATTAATTCCCCCCTCTCATGCTTTTGCCTCCAGAAGAGGCCCTCGGACGGGCTCCGAACTGAAAAATCGGCATTATAGACAGATAAGAGTCACCGTGTGGGTGTGGGTGCTGAGAATCAAGCCTGTCCTCTGGAAAAGGAGCAAGGGCTTGCTCTTGATGCTAGCAGTCTCTGCGTTTCTGAGTCTCTTTTCCAGCCCATTTCCTTTCACGTAAGGGAGCATCCAGTGAGCCCCTATAGGAGGAGCCGCCCTCGCTTGATAGTGGGAAGCTGGTGTTTGCTATTCACTTGCCTGACTGCTCTATGGCTGCTGTCACTTTGGGTGAAGAAAAGCATAGGTGCTGGGAAGATGGTATGCCTGTGGTTGAGAAAGTCTTCTTCACATAATAACTTAAATTTAAGATACACTTAAGTTGCATCGAAATAAACACTTTGACTCCCAATCCTTGCAACACCATGAGTGCTTACTATATAGCACTACTCCCAGTACGGCTGCTGAATACATAATATCCGCTTACTTTTTACAGCAACACTATGAGCTGGGGTTTCTTCACTAGACAGGGTCTGAAATATCTTAGGCTGGCTTCAAACTGTGCAGGAAGGATGACCCTGAATTTCTGACCCTCCAACTTCCATCTCCCAAGTGCTGGGAATACAGGCATGTGTCATGTGTCACTGTGCAGTTTATGTAGTGCTGGGTGTTGGACCCAGAGCTTTGTGATTGCTAAGCAAGGACTCTGCTTACTGAGTTGTACCCCAGCCCTGAACTAGATGCTACTAATGGCCCCATGTGAAGATAAGGGGACTAAAAGTACCAGAGGTTTAGCCCATGACCAGCAGGTGGCAGATTTAGGGCCAGAATGTGGCCAGTTTGACCCTAGTGTTATGTTGCCTCCTGTGCTTTAAGTGGAAGGCAGTGGAAGAAATTTCATGCTCACTGATTCCCATGAGGACCTGGTACAAAGTGAGAAAGAGCCCCCTGCCCAGGGTCTTGCAGCTTGGGACGAACAGCTATAGGCCTCCTGCAACCCAGTCTGTGGCACTTTCCCAACTCTGCACAGCTTGACCATCTAATACTAGGTCCCAAAATATCAGCTGGAAAGGAGTTTGATGATTGCCTTCTCCTACCACTCTGTTTTGCAGGCAAGGAAACTGAGGCCCAGACTTTGATAGGATGGTATATGCCCTTTGGGAGATGTTCGGCTTTGGCCCTCCTTTGGGAGGCTATTCCTTACCAAAAAGGAAGGAGGAGGAGGGCAGGGGACCTTCCCTCCCCTTTAGGACACAGACATAGAGCATGCAGATGAAAAGAAAATGAGCCTCCCTTAAGGCACTCCCTAGTTCACCCCATCAAAACAGGCCTGGTGTGTAGGGACCACTCGTGAGAACCTGGGAAGCCAGAGGCCTCGAAGAGACTGCCAGAAATATCTCAGATACTCTGCCCCAGGGACACAGCAGGAAAAGGGGAAGGAGATGGGGGTGGGGTAGGCAGAAGTCCCATGAGTACTATCCTAGGCTCTCTGCCAGTATCTCTTCTTCCCTGAGACCAGATAATGGCTGGAGGGGTCTAAGATGTTTCCAGTAGTAGGCATGACAACCCCTTCTTGGAGACAAGTGGACGCTGTAGTGTCAGATCTTTGCCTGTATCCTGGTTAGGCCTTAGTGACAAGGAGAGAGTGTCTGGGAGGCTTCCAGATGAGGGGGGGCTTTTCCTCAGCTATGAATGACAGTGTGGGAATTTACAGAGCTCTGTCTACTGGCTCTATGACCTGCTCTCCACCTAGCCTGGCTCTGCCTCTCCACCTGCATAGCCTGGCCTCAGAAAGGAGTGGGGCTGGAGAAGGCAGACTGTCTGGAGGCCAGGGCTGCTGCAGAGTTGCCCTCAGCTAGCCTATTCCAGACACCTGGCAGATGCCAGACAGCCAAAGAGAACCATCACAGGCCTCTCCTAAGAGCAGGAGGCAAAAATCACATAACTCATCCAGACTGAGTGGAGTTTATCCTCCAATCCATTTTATCCCAAGTTGAGACCTCTTGAGTGCGTGGGGACTCGCACACACACCCTGTTTCCACCATCCACAGCCTGATGAAGGGGAGGGGTCCACTTAAGGTGGAGATCATGGTTCTGAATCTGAGCTGAGGCTCTGCCCTTTAGTCCCACCCTTGGAGCCCCAGCTGGTGCTGTGTGCAGCTGGGAGTTTCCTCCTCCCAGATCCTGAGTGGCCCTTTGGGAGATGTAGAGGACAAGGAACTGTCTTGGCTGTGGGCAGCCCACAGAGTTCCCAGGCCCTGCCTGACCCCTGCCCAACCTCTAACAAACCCCCTCTCCACTTTGCACTCCCCACACTGAGGGAGATGGGGGTGGGGAAGAAAGGCCTACATCAGGCTCTGAGCCTCGAAGGAACTCAGACCCAAGCCTTATTCATATCTGCAGCCACACAGTCAGCACCAAGGAGGGTCTCTTTCTTTTTATTTAATAAAAAAACTCTTAAAATGCATTTATTTAATTTTTATGTATTCTTGTCTTGACTGCATGTACGTATGTGCACCACATTAGTGCCCGGTGCCTCCAGACATCAGAAGAAGGTGTCAGATTCCCTGGGACTGGTATTAGGAATGGTTGTGAGCCACCAGATGGGTGGTGGGAACCGAAACTGGGGCCTCTGCAAGAGCAACAGGTGCTCTTAATTGCTGAGCCATCTCTCCAGCACCATCTATTCAGTGGAATCCTGAGCCCCAATCTTCTAGTCAGCCTCAGTCCAGCTGAGGGAAATCCAGTTTCTGTCCCAGAAGAGCTTTGTCTAATGGAGGAGACATAACCTTTGTTCTTGGAGAAAACAGCCCCTGCCAACTCCCTGATTTGATGATGGAGCCTCTTTTGAGTCTGGTGAAGACAGTACATAGGGCAGGGAGTACCTTGAAGCTCCTGGAGTTGGGAGAAGGATGAACACTATGCTAGGAGTCAGGAATCCTACCTGGGATTTGATGCTGTGTAACCATCAATTTGCCAAAGCTACTGAACGTCCCTGGGCCTCAATTCCACATCTGCAGAATAGGGTTTGCAACTGACTTCTAAGGTTCTGCTCAGTTTTGATATTGTAATACATCATTGAACAACCATAGAAAGCATATTGTGTTGTGACCCAGAAGAAGCAGTGACATTATAGAGTTCCTAAAAGCTTAGCTTTATGTGCAATTGCTCATGGGTATCTTGGCATCAGGAAAGACAAGTCCTACATTGCTTGCCTGTTCAAAGTAGGGACCTGCTGTGTACATCTATTGAATACTGACTACATGCCCATTGCTGGGCCTAGCATCACAACCTCCACATTTTGGGTATCTGAAGTCCTCTATAACAGCTTTGATTGAGGGGACTAGGCAAGGAGATGAGCTACTTGACTGAACATAATAACCTCTCTCTCTCCAGTGAAATGTCCAGATGTCTGCTCCTTGACCTCTTGGTAGGTGGTTAAGAAGTATGTGCTATTCGTGGAGAGTGGAGGGAATTTTTATGGACTATAGGCCAAGTTCTAGGTGGAATACTTCCATGTTATCTCATCTAACCTTTACTATTATCCCAATTTTAAAGATGAGGAACTGATACCAGGAAGGTTAAAGTAGCTTATTGTAGGGTCTGGCAGCATGTGGCAAACTCTCAAGGCCTTTCCAGGCCAGGTCAGCATGTCAGAATGCTAGACAAGCAGCTAGCAGAAGGGGGCAGAGGCCAGGCAAAAGAACTGGTTGAAAGAGACTCTGTTTCCTTCCTAAGCCTGGGACTTTAAACTTTAAACAGTGTCTTTTGGTTTGTCCCAGTTTTAAAGATTAGGAAACTGGGCTGAGAAGATGGCTCAGTGAATACAGACACTTGCTGCCAGGTCTGATGACCTGAGTTTAAGTCCCAGAGCCCACATAAGGGAAGGAGAGAACTGACTCCCTCCACACATATACTCAATAGATAAACAAATTAACACATAATGTAAAGAAATTATTTTTAAAAGGTGAAAAAACTGATGCCAGGTTTTATTTGTTTGTTTGGTGTGTGTGTGTGTGTGTGTGTGTGTGTGTGTGTGTGTGGGTGGGGGTGGGGGGCCCAGGACAAAAAAAAAAGAGCACCCCTGTGTGTGTGTGTGTGGAGGCCAGAGACAAGTTACAGAAGTCAGCCATCCCCTTTCACCACATCAGTTCATGGGTCTCAGGGACTGAAGTCAGATCAAGCTTGTGGCCAGTGCCTTTACCCACTGAGCCATCTTGCTAACCTCATTTTCTTTCATTCTTTCCTTTTCTTTTTGAGACAGGGTCTGATGTAGCCTAGGGTCCTCTTGTTCTCCTGAGCTTGTAGTGGAAAATGACCCTCTTGCCTCCCACTTTGAACAGCTGGGATCATAGACATGCACCATCCATCACTGGAGTTTATTTGGTGCTGGGGATTGAACCCAGAGCTTTGTGTGAACTGAGTCCTATCCCAAGAAAGACTTTCAGCAGCTCCCTGAACCTCACACAAAATGGGAAGTGGCAAAGCTCTCCTCTGTAGGACCTGTGCAGGCTCTACCTTGCCTTCTCCAGCACTTCTGCATAGAGACAAGCTTTCTCTCCATGGACACCATCTGGAATGTCTGCACAGGACTGGAACCAGCCAGGGATGTGGCTGGAACCAGGCTCCCACTTTTTCAACTCCCACAACTCAGAGGAAAACCTTATCCATTAGCTGTTTGAACAAGTCTAGTCTGCGGGTGTAATCTAAACAAATCCCTGTGGTACTATGTAATCTTAATAACAGCCGGATTACTGTGATTCCCCTCCACAGCTAGGCCAAGTCAGAATTCACATCCTATGTGTGGGGGTGGGAGGTGGGGGGGTTCTTCTTATTTAGGATGGATATTGCCCTGCTTGCACCCTGGATCCAATGCCTGCTGGCAAGCTTTCCATGTTTTTCTTTTTGTCTAGTGGTAGGCACCCAGACCTTAGTACACCTGATGCCATGACAGAAGTGCCATCTAGATTCTAAAACTCAACGTAGACAGCACCACCTGACAAAACAAAAGCAAAGACCTAATCAGTCAAAGTCCATAGTACTGGGAATGTCTCTACATGTACTGTTTTAAGTTTTAGTGGCATTTATCAATCTTATACAATAATGGGTTTTGTTGTGACATTTTCACACATGCATATAGTGTATTTTGATCACATCCACTCCCCCAGACCCCCTGTCATGCCCCTATCACTCACTTATCCCCTTCCTCTTCCCAATTAGCCTCCTTCTAGTTTCATGCCTTTTTGATTAACTTTTGGTGACCCAGTGAGTTCTATTAGGTTTACTTACAGGAGCATGGGTGAAGCGTTTCATTTTGTTTTTTTAAGATGGTCTCACATGTAACTCAAGTTATACTGGAATTCAGCTCAGGCTGGCCTCCAATTCACTGCAACTCTTCCTTAGCTTCCCAAATGCTGGGCCACGAAGTCTTAGCCAGAGGTACAAACCCTTTGTCCCAGAACTCAGGAGCCTGAGTTCTGCAGTGATGCTGCTTGGAGCCTCCAGTGCAAAATACAGAAGTAGAATGCTGAGGTTGAGCTGGCCGTGGTCTAAAGCACCAGCTGGGAGGCAGGGAACATAATCCCAATCCATAGAGCTCAGCTACGGTTAAAAGGTGTTTGGAGCGTGAAGGCCACGCCCCATCCACGCCCCTCCTCCTGCAGGCGGACACCGACGGGCGGGCCGCAGGGTGACTGAGGGCGCTCCACTCGCAGCCCATCGGCCCCCGAGACCGGCGTGGCCGTCTGCAGCGTCGCCATGTCTTCGGTGTTCGGCAAGCCCCGAGCGGGCAGCGGGCCACACAGCGTGCCCCTCGAGGTCAACCTGGCCATCCTGGGGCGCCGCGGGGCGGGCAAGTCTGGTGAGTGACGCGGAGCGCGGAGGATGGGGACAGCTTCATCCACCCGCTCCCAGAGACTTGCTTCCCCGGGTGGTTGGGTGAGTTCCTATGATTTTGCTTCTTGCCTCAGTTTCTTTGATGCTGGCCCCCACTCTCGTCTTGCTACTTTGTTCTCGGTTTCCCTGTCTCTTTTATCTGCCTTCGGCTGCCTACCTGGTTCTTCCTCGGTCTCCTGCTGCCCTCAACAAAACTGTCTCTCTTTGTATTTCTCTTAGGTCTTCCACTCATCTCCATCCCTGGGACCAGCAGCCAAATCTTGTCAACTAACACTAAAAAGACCTGTTGGCCCTGGTCTCCAGCCCTGGGTCCTCTTTGAACTTGGTGGCATCCTTGCTACTCCTTGATCTGGGCTGTCCACCCCGCTCCAAGAGACTTGGTAGAAGTCAGTAGAGATTAGAATTTCTCAGGCTTGGGCCACTCCCCCACTGCCAACCCGTGGGACTCCGAAACAGACTATTTTCTTATCAAATGTTATTTGTTTCAAGCCAGGTCCCTCTTGACTTTGTGGAAAAGGGAGACTATGGCCCCAGGTGCCAGGGACTTGTCCTTGAGGAACCTGGATCTTGGGCTACCTACCACTGAGATCATTTCTGTCAAACCTGAACCTTCATCACTCCTAAGAGCCATCAGAGTCCTCTGAAAGGAGTGTTTGCCCTGCCATCTAAGACAGCTGAGGATGGGTGGACAGAAGAGGCTCTCCTCTGACTGTCCGGTTGCAGCCTTCAGTGAAGAGCCACCACGGCCCCTTAGCTATGGCCTCTTTGGCTATCTGAGATCCCCAGGAAAAGTGTTCTGAGTTTGAAGCCAGCACCCCTGGCTCAGAGGGAGGACCCAGAACATGGTTTTCCTTTTAAAATCAGCCTGCCCCAGTGACTCAGTCATTGTTATAGGTCAGCTAGTGACTAAATGGATGAAGGAATTTTTTTTTTTTTGATGCACAGTCTCATGTAGCCCAGGCAAGCCTAGAATCTACTGTGAAGCCAAGAATGACCTTGTACTCCTGGTTCTCCTGCCTCCACCTCCCAAGTGCCAGCTTGTAAATGCACACCACCATTCCTGGCTTATGCCATGCTGGGGATGTAACCCAAAGCTTCATGCCTGGTAGACAAGCACTCTACCCAGGGGGCTACAGCGCCAGAGAGTTTAAAATTTGTATTCCCTGGCTATTAGTTTGCAAATTGTCAGTGTTAGGATTCCTTCAAAAGAATTTTAGGTTTATTTTTAATCCTATCAAGAGGCCAGCATAATATATTTGGCTGACCCTTGCCTTTATGTGGTGAGCTCCGAACAGAAACAATCCTGTTAGTGCACTCTACTAGGGAGAGAGAAGTACTTTTCCAAGGCTTACATTCTCAAGAGTTACCCCAAGAAGGATGTGGAAATCCCATGGAGAGCAAAATCCCAAGGTGTAGAGGACTCAGACTAGAGTGTGTTTACTTGGGACATAATCTGTCCTGGACCTTGCCTGGAAAACTCATGTCCTCGGTGGGTCAGACCTTCCTAACAATAGTCAATCAATTCTTCACTTACTGTCTTTGACCTGTTGCCAAAACTGGAGTAAATGTCCCTTGCTACAGAATCAGTGTGACCTGTCCATGGTGGGAGATATGTCCCTTCAGTTGGGAGTCTCACCAGACCTCAGGATAACTAACTAGACCCTGGATTTGATTGTCACAGACACTCCTTAGACATGCCCCCTGCCATCTTTCTTGCTTACAATAATGTCTAGAAAATAATCTCAGTGTGCATGCAATTAGTGAGGTTTGCCACCCCATTTCTACGCCTTCTGAGCCAGTTCCTCTGCTCTGCAGTCCAAGGCCCTTGGAGAGCCAAGCTTGGTGTCAGCCAGAGGCCTTAGAGGTCAGTTTAGGCCTCCTTAAAGTTCAAGGGACAGCTTGGGGGCTAGCCTCAGACCCAAGAGGAATCTGAGCCTACCTCTTTCTTCTTTTTGCAGCCCTGACTGTGAAGTTTCTCACCAAGAGGTTTATCAGCGAATATGACCCCAATTTGGGTAAGAAGCCACTACTCCCTGGGCTTCCTGCTATGTGGGCCGCACCTGGATATTCCCCTAGGACCTCCCCATGGGTGGCCCTGGCCAGCACTGAGCATCTTAGGATAGAAGGGAGGGATCACTGGGATGATTCCAGGCACACCAGACAACTGGGGGGCTGGTCCAGCTCAAAGACCTGAGACTGTTTACCCTAAAATATGCAATGCAACAAGACTTTAGAAGAATGTTTTTTTCTTAAATAGCAGAATGTCCACATCCAAATATGCACAGTTCTTCAAAATGTTCACTCAGTGTTCTCTCGAGGGCAGCCAGACAAGCTATTTAAGGGATTCGGTATTGGTACCGGACATTCTTTGAACCAGGGAACATTTGTTTTAGATTTTTTTCAAAGATTTTATTTATTATGTATACAACATTCTGTTTCCATGTATATCTGCACACCAGAAGAGGGCACCAGATCTCATAACGGATGGTTGTGAGCCACCATGTGGTTGCTAGAAATTGAACTCAGGACCTCTGGAAGAGCAGTCGGCACTCTTAACCTCTGAGCCATCTCTCCAGCCCCTTGTTTTAGATTTTTAAATTTATTTTATTTTATACATATGAGTGTTCTGCCTGTGTGTATATCTGTGTGCGTGTCTGATACCCATGGAGGTCAGAAGCAGGCATTGGATCCCCTGGAACTGGACTGACAGATGATTGTGGACCACCCTGTGGGTGCTGGGAATGGAACCTGGTCCTCTGCAAGAGTAACAACTGTTTTCAACCACTGAGCCATTTTTCACTCCCCCACCCCTAAAATTAGTTATGTAAAGCTAAGTTTGAATGTTGGCTCTGACATTTATTGGCTGGGTAACTTTGAGACAGTCACTTAATCTCTCTGAGCTACCACTTCCTTGTCTGCCAATGGAGCATAGGCATAGCTATATCAGAGAGCAGCTGTGAGGGTTGGAGAACTAGCGCACGTTAGGCTAGTGCTTCACCCCAATAGACTCTCAGCGCATATTTACCTTTTTTCTTCCTCCTTAAATAGCTTCCTGTGCATGCTGCTCAGAGTCCCCCACATTCATGAGATCCGAGTTGTGAAACTTGTTTTTAACAAACAGAAGGATCATCCCCTAAAATAAGCTCTTACATGGGACCCTAATACCCAAGACAAACAAAATTAGAATCTGCTTAGCATCAAAGTCACTTCTGGCTCTTGTTTATAATATTTTTATGTATAAACTGTCCGTTGAGAACAACGAGGTGTCTGAATGAGCTTAGCTTTTGAAAATGATGTTGTTTCCCCATTCATAAAAAAGAAAAAAGGCAAAGTATTGGTGGGACCAAAAGGGGAGGGTATGCCTCAGGCATATATGGCTAAAACAGCTCTTTATAAGGAAGAAACTGAGGCAGAGGGGACTCAGTGACTCACCTAACATCACAGAGCCCCCTCAGTTAAAGGAAGAAGGTCCACCCATTTCCTGTGAACTGCAGTCTATGGGCCCAGAAGTAGAGGTGTGTATGGCACTGGGCTCTCTGAGCCTTGGTTTCCCTGGGTTGCCAGACCTGTTGGGGCTGGGTTGTCTGTGTTGGAGCTGTGTCTTGTGGGCTGTGACTGGAGTTGCTGGGAGATGAAGACTCTGCATAGAAGGACTCTGACTGTGCTCTGACCTGGGTGGGCAAAGAGCTCCAGGGAATGTTCTCACTTGGATCCTCCAGAGAACAATGTCAAATTCTTACCTCATTTGCCCCCATCCTGTTCCTGCAAGGACATGGATGCTCATTGTGTCTGAGGTGCCACCTGGATGTACAATTGGACAGAACTTCTTTGGTGCCTTTTATAAAATTACTATTTTAAGGACACCAAAGTGCCCAGAGTCAAGGTAGGCTCTATACCACTTTGCCTGGGTGAGAAAGCTGCCATTCTGGCTCCTGAGGACAGTCACCTGATGATCTGAGGCTTCATCCAACTTGCATATCTGTGCTAGAATTCCAAAGGAATAAGATGCTTCAGGTCAGACATAGCTGAAGGACCAGCAGACCCATCATTAGCCAGGGAGCAAAGGAGGTCACAGTGGGGGGGTGGGGGCACAGCCCAGAAGACCCAAGTTCAAGTTCACTTCCTCCCCATCATTGGAGATTAAATGAACACTGTGTATCATGCATGGTAGGCAGCACTCTACCATTGAGTCATATCCCCAGAGCCCCCCCCCCCCCCCCGCAGACACACACATACACACACACACACTTTTTTTTTTCTCCCAGTTTTAAGATGGGGTTTCACTACATTGCACAGGCTTGCTTTGAACTTGTTCTGTAGCCCGGGCAGGGACTGACCTTGCAATCCTCCTGCCTCAGTCTTTCAAAGCAACCTTGTCATCTTTCTACACGGAGCCAACATAAGATCGTGAGGCTACCAGGAAGACTGTTAGATAACACTTGTCACCAGGTGAGGCAGGGCTTTGCCTGTTTGGAGGGAGTGCTTAAAAGGCAACTTTGGCCAAAAACTAATAAGTATGAACACAATGTAGACATCCAGTGACAGCTCTTCTTGGGCCAAATATAGTTAAACATTTGGGGCATATTTTCCATTAGGTTTTTTTCCCCCTCTTTGGATAAGAGCAGCTATTTATCCAAGTCCCCAAAGCAGGCTGGGGACGAAGAGCTGTCTGTGACTCATGTTGGATGTTAGTGGACCTGGCATGTATCCAGGCCTGCTTAGCTGCCAGCAGCCCTCAGGGAGAAGTGTGTGACTACATTCAGCCAGGGCTAGGGGTACTGTTCTCAGAGTGGCCACTGCCAGGAAAGGCAGAGAACACTTCAGATCTGCCTAGAGGGGTCATCCAGAGAAAGGTCGGGACCAAGTGTAGTCACATACAGGTGCCAGGGAAGGCTGGGAATAAGAAAAGCAGCTGTCCGAATGCCAGTGACATATCTCTATGCCTGACCACATTCTGATTTCTTGGGTTTAAAGTCATAAGAACTAAAAAAAGAAAGAAAGAAAGAAAAAAAAAACCAAACTGGTGAAATCCAAATAAGGTCAGTAATTTAGTTCATCGTACAGAACCAACATCAATTTCCTGGTTTGGCAACTGTGCTATGATTATATAAGGCGTTAACACGGAGGGAACCAGGGTGAAGAGCACATAGGAACTGTGTTAGTTTGTAACTTCTATTTGGGTTTAAAATTATTTCCCGCCGGGTGTAGTGGCGTATGCCTTTAGTTCCAGCACATGGGAGGCAGAGGCAGGTGGATCTCTGTGAGTTCGAGACCATCCTGGTCTATAAGAGCTAGTTCCAGAACAGCTTCCAAAGCCACAGAGAAACCCTGTCTCAAAAACCAAAACAAATAAATAAAAACAAAATCATTTCTCTATAAAATGAGTGGGTATGAGGGCTACGGATAAAACTGTCAGCAAAGTGACTGCCACATAGGTGTAAGGATCTGAGTTCTGGGCTCTAGCACCCGTGTGAAAAGCTATGCGTGGTGGTGTGCATCTGCAATTCCACCACTGGGCAAGCAGAGACAGGTGGGTCCCCAAAGCAGAATGGCCATCCATCCGGTCACTTCACGTTCAGTGAGAGACCATGGCTCAAAAAGTAAGGTGGAGGGGTGGGGCTGGAGAGATGCCTCAGTGGTTAGCAGCCATTGCTGTTCTTTCAGAGGACCCAAGTCCTGTTTCTAGCACCCATATCAGATGTTCATAGCTGTCTATAACTCTAGTTCTAGGTAAATCAATTCTCTTCTGGCCTCTGTAAGTGCCAGCACACATCATGTGTACACACACACACACACACACACACACACACACACACACACACACCAATAAAAATCTAAAACCGCTTTAAAAAATAATAAAGTGAACAGGGCATGATGAAGAAGACACAAGATGTTAAACTCTGACCCCCACACATCCATGCACACATGAACATGTACACATACATGCCACATCGTACTCACCCATAAAAACAAAAGGAGAAAAAAATTACATGGGAATGTGGTGGACCTGTCCTGCTAACCTTGAGGTCCTTCACATTCCTCACTGCCACTTTTAGATATTTATTATGGGCCAGACCCCAAGTCTGGACGACTAAGCAGTCCTCCCATGGCCCTGGGAGATATAGGTTGGTTAAATGTGCTAGCTCAGAGACAAGCCTAGCAGAGTGAAGGCTTGAAAACTGTTAGCTCTGGCTGAGTGGTGGTGCACGTCTTTAATCCCAACATTTGGGAAGCAGAAGCAGGCAGATCTCTGAGTTTGAGGCCAGCCTGGTCTACAGAGAGAGTTCCAGGACAGCCAGGCATACACAGAGAAACCCTAGAGAGAGAGAGAGAGAGAGAGAGAGAGAGAGAGAGAGAGAGAGAGAGAGAGAGAGAGAGAGAGAGAGAGAGAGAGGGAGGGAGAGCGAAGAGGGAGAGGGAGAGGGAGAGGGGGAGACAGACAGAGACAGAGACAGAGAGAGACAGACAGAGACAGAGACAGAGAGAGAGACAGAGAGAGAGAAAGAGAGAAAGAGAAACAGAAAGAGAAGGAAGGAAGAAAGGAAGGAAGGAAGGAAGAAAGGAAGGAAGGAAGGAAGAAAGGAAGGAAGGAAGGAAAAGAAAACTTTTAGCTCATATTATCATAGCATTCCCATTTAAATGGAGGAAGCACTCCCTGAAAACTGAAGTCTAAATCATTTGAAATGTAGCTGAAGGTGGCTCTGGGGGAGGGTGCAGTGTGTGTGTGTGTGTGTGTGTGTGTGTGTGTGTGTGTGTTGTGTATGTGCATGACTGTGTACAAGTTTCTATGCATACAGAGGCCAGAAGAGGCATCAAGTATCTTGCTGTCACTTTCTACTTTATTCTTTGCAGACAGGGTCTCCATGAGCCCAGGGACAAGCTGGCAGTCAGCAATCCCCAGCAATCCTCCTGTCTCAGCCTCACAGTGTGGGGGTTATAGGCATGCACACACCTATGATTGACTTTTATGTGGGTGCTGGGGACTTGAACTCAGGTCTTCATGCTTGTATAGTGATAATTTCTCCCCACTGAACTTTCTCCCTTTCCCTGGAGTTAGCTTGGATCCCTTGGAATTACCTTGCACACACTCTCTCTGTCATGTCCTAAATATCTCTTTTCCATTCTGTCCTCTCCTGCTGAGGGAAGAAGTCTTCTTTGGGGACTCCCTGTAGGCCAGGTACTATGGTGAAAGGGACAGAGAGTGGAGAAAACTGGGGTTCTTGGAGGAAGTTCCAAGCCTCTGCTGCTGAGCCTACAGGCCACACACTCCACACCATGGACTTTGTGCATGGATTCAGGAATATCTTGGCCCACAGGGGATGGTATATATAGTGGCCTCTGATGCTTCAAGCCTGACAAATGAAGAGGAACAGTGGCCTGGTAGCACTTCCCAAGGGCCAGTCAAGGCTACACTGGAGTCCATCACAGGAGGAAGCTGGGACATTAACCTTGTCTGTTATTTGAGTGAGCTGCCATGCCTCTGACCTGGCTGACCATCTGTGTTGCAGAGGACACCTACAGTTCTGAGGAGACTGTGGACCACCAACCTGTCCACCTGAGGGTCATGGACACTGCAGACCTGGTAACGGTACCCCCGTCCCTCAGGCAGCGAATCAGTGCAGCCTCCCACGTCCTGACCTCACCAGAGAATCCGATCCCTTTAGGCTCCAGTTTGCTGTGTGGCCTGAATGGGGCTCTGACTTTTCTGGGCCTCAATCTTTCATTTGCTGTATGAGGAGGGTGATGTCCTATGCTGTGAGGCTAAGCACACACAGGTGCATGCCTATTTACACAAACACTCCTACAAAGAGCCTGTCAGCCCATCTCCCCAACATATCTTTCCAAGCCCTCCCCTCCCCCACCATGGCTGGAGTCAGTTCTCAGAGGCCAAAGGGGCAGTATGGACCTGACCCAAAACCAGCAGTACCCAGGGACAGCAGGTCTCTGGAGGGCCATGCCAGAATCTTTGACTCAGTGCCCAAGGGGCCAAGGTCTCCAAGTCTCTGGCTGCGTGGTGGGAGGGAGGTTCATGAGACAATGTCTCTTTTCACACCAAGCCAGATCGACACTGAAGTGCCCCTTTGCAAAGAGATCTGCTAGGGAACAATATACAGACTCAGGAGGTGGAAAGGGCAGCCCAGGTGAAGGCCTCACCCCACCCCCAGTTCTTCTGTCTCTGAGCTGGATTCCTCTCCTTCACCCCAGGACACCCCCAGAAACTGCGAGCGCTATCTAAACTGGGCCCATGCCTTCCTGGTGGTGTATAGTGTCGATAGTCGCCAGAGTTTTGAGGGCAGCAGCAGCTACCTGGAATTGCTGGCCTTGCATGCCAAGGAGACACAGCGTGGCTACCCTGCCCTGCTGCTGGGCAACAAGCTGGATATGGCCCAGTACAGGTGAGTGAGGTGTCAGTTTGCTTGCATATGGATACAGAATGACGTACCTGGGGATCACGGCTACCAAGAACGGCAGTGCCCTCAACTGCAGGTAAAAGGATTGTGCTGGGAGAGTACACGGGAGTTTATCTAGGCAGCCAGTGACATGAAGGGAGAGACACCTGGGCCACTTAGGATGTGAGCTGAACCCCAAAAGGCAAAAAAGGAGGTACCCCTTCCTTTCAGGAGTCTCAGTGGTCTCTTACATCAGCCTTGCCTGGAGCTATGTGACATTCTGGTTCCCCTCCCAACAGCTGCCCAACTCCAGTCCCAAGGAGAGGGTCTGATTTGCTCCTTGCATCAGATGTCTGCAGTGGTCCAACCAGTCCTTGCCTGGTCCAAGCATAGCACCCCAGGCTTGTTGCCACAGTAGGCTGCTGAGGGTAGGCCTCTCTTAGAAGGGCCTGGACTTGAACCAGAGGTCACAGACTGGGCCAGAGAGCAGATCACCACAGAACACTGCAGCCATATTTTGCTTGGCTGGCACAATGTTTTAACTGACTTGGAATTGGAATGCTGTGAGGTGGGGCCTGCTCCCTTCAGCTGACCACAGACCCTGCCACTCCCTGTGGTTTCTACCTCCACCCTCCCCACACATCAAGTCATCCTCCTGGCCCTGAGGCCCTTGACATGGAGCCTACACTTTTGAGCAATGGAACTGAAACTCTCATTGGACATTGTTCCATGTGGTCAGTACACCTGCTAGGCGTGGCATTTCCTACCAGCCTTCTACTTTTCCCTTCTGCTCTTAACTTGTTCTTGCTCTCCCAGACCCCAGAGGCCCAGTGACTGATGTTGAGATTTTGTTCAGATCAGGCCACACAGGCAAAGGGAGAAGAGAGTTGTGGTTTCCTGAAAGGTAACTGTGATGGTATAGGGCCTTCTTCATGGGTGGTCCAACCTTCAGCCCAAGAAAAATTGCATCTTGGGGAATAAGGGAAGTTGTACAGTGGGTAAATCACTGAAGGTGGTCCTTGAAATATCTCAGAATCTGGAAGACAGATCAAAAGACTGGACTGTGAATAGGAAGGAGAGTGGGGTGGGGGTAGGGTGGAGTGACTATAGAATATTGTTTTGGCCCCAATGTTTACCAAAGAGATTGTTGAAAAATGGTTTGCAAGCGAGTGACCAGGAATCCAGGGTTTGAATGAAACAGCCTTGGTTCCCTGGGTACAAGACATGCCCAGTTACCCCACTTCTTTCGGTCGAGTGTAACACTAATAGGTTGGGGCTCAGTGGTATACTAGGTATTCTAGGTCTCCTGTCCCCTTTCTCCTGCCAAATCAGCCCTGGCCCAGAAACTTTTCCCCACTACTTCTTACCCTGGTATCACCTGCCATCTTGGGCTGTGCCATGGTCCTCAGGGATGGTTGTTGGGGCAGCTCATTGATGTGTGGTGGTGAGCTGGATTCAGCCGGTGCAGTGTTGGCCTCAAGACCCAAGGAATCTCTGTCTAGACATATGAGCTTCTGAAGAGCCAGTCTTCATTTTTTTCTCCGCCTCCATACCCATGGGTTCCAGTCAGATGTTCCTAGGGACCTTCCACTTGCAAACGCCTATCCTGTCATCCCAGGAGGCAGACAGAACCAAGCAGGGACACATGCGCCCCTGCCCTGTTCCCCTACTCTCCTGACATAGCTGCTCTCTGCTGGCCTCAGCTAGACAAGCAGACAAAACACCTATGAGCCCCAAGAGCCTGCCAGTCTCAGGCTTCCTAAGGGTGGCCATTTCCTGAGGAGAGAGGCAATGACTTTCCTCCTTTGGCCACAGGCAGGATCTAGCATGGGAGAATTTGGCTCATCTTTTTTCTTCATATTCATTCCTAAATACCAACTTTGGCAACGTTGGCTACCATTTATTGAGTTCTGAGTCTGTGCCAGGTATAATGAATGCTAAGTGCACCACGCAATAGTCTTTCTTAGTCCTAACAGCCCCCAGAGGAGGGGCCATTATCCTGTTGTATTGATGAGAAAACAGATTAAAGGGCAAAGATGGGCCCAGATCAGTAGGTGGGGAGATGGGTGTGGGACTTCCTGACTTGGAATGTCATTCTCCTGACTGCCTCACCCTGCTTCCTTGCCAGGCAGGTCACCAAGGCTGAGGGTGCGGCTTTGGCAAGCAGGTTCGGGTGCCTGTTTTTTGAGGTCTCTGCCTGCCTGGACTTTGAGCATGTGCAGCATGTCTTCCATGAGGCTGTGCGGGAGGTGCGACGGGAGCTGGAGAAGAGCCCCATGGCCCGGCCCCTCTTCATCTCTGAGGAGAAAGCCCTATCTCACCAGACCCCGCTCACAGCCCGACACGGGCTGGCCAGCTGCACTTTCAATACTCTGTCCACTATCAGCCTGAAGGAGATGCCCACTGTGGCCCAAGCCAAACTGGTCACTGTGAAGTCATCCCGTGCCCAGAGCAAGCGCAAGGCACCCACCTTGACCCTACTGAAGGGCTTCAAGATCTTCTGAGGACCCTTCTTCATGGCTGATGCTCCAGTTGCAATGCAGGAGCTGGTTTGCCCTCTGATGAACCAGTGGCCCTTATGCTCTGGTAGATAGCAGACTCCACCTCCACACAGTCTCTACATGCTCACTGTGTGAGCCAGAACAGGCAGTGATGCTGCTGAGTCCCTCCAGGCCTTGGGCTCCATGGTAACTTCTTTGTCCACCACCCTGGAGAGAAGCTGCCCCTGTTGCAAACCAGAGACCTGGAAACAGCTGCAAGCAGAAAGGAACTGCAGTGCATACCCTGTGTGGTGACTCTTGCCTGCTCCAACCACTGCCAGGCCAGCTGCAGCCCCTGTTCAAAGAAGCTTTGTTTATGTGAAGTCTTTAACCGTTGACAGGATGGCTGACCCTGAGGTCCTACTGCCGCCTGGTGGTAGAAACAGGTAGGGCAGTTGTCCATCAAAGCTGGTGTCTCCCATGTCTTCTGACCTCTCAAAATCCCAGGCTACAAACTTTACAGTTTATCCAAGAAAAATCCAATTAAGATAATCCTTTGGGAAAGCCTGGATATGGCAATGAAATCTGGACTGGAGCATTTCAGCACTTGCCTCTCAGTGAAGAGTGCAGAGAGGGCCTATGGGTTGTCCAGGCTAGGCAGCCTCCCGCATTATTTTTTTTTTTACCAGCATTTGGGGGGCTCTTGTGACCTCCTTATTAGTTGACCCCCAGGACCACTCTTCTTGAGGTTAATGACTAAGGCTGCAGAAAGTCATTCTACCCAGTGATAGCCCTCAGGGAATCTACAGCTGGCAGGAGCAGACACCCTCTGGTGGGCACCATTGGCCTGATTTGGTTAAACCTCGAACTCTCAGCAATGGATCTGAGTGTTTAAAGCCCACTATGGGAAGATAGATCCCAAAGTGTTTAGGATTAAAAAGTTGGACTTTTGCATAGCTTGGTGTTTTACCAAGTCTTGGGTTCGAGAAGACTGTCATAGTCAGGGCTACAGCTGTTTCTTCCTGTTTATCACAAACTCTAACTGAGCTGGTTCAGAAGGGGTATTAGAAGAACCAAGCTGGGCATCCTTCTCCTTCCACTCCCAGCCAACAGAAATATCTCTAACCTAGTCTTCAGCTCTATTTTATAGCTAGAGACCCTGAGGTCAGGGGGAGGCTGTGAACCACTCAAGAGCATGTGCTACAAGTTCTGACCCTATCTTCTGATCAACAGGCCAGCTCTGAACCTTGTACTTTTTTTTTGAGACAGGGTATCTCTATTATGTAGCTCTGGCTGTCCTGGAACTTGCTATGCAAACTAGGCTTGAGTTGAAGTCACAGAGACCCACCTGCCTCAGCCTTCTGAGGCTTCCGCCACACACGACTGAACTTTGTACATTTGATCCAAGCCACTTGTGTGTGCTTCGTAGACCACCATTGTTTGAACCAACCATATAATCCCAACTGCCCTCCTAGAGAAGCATTTTAATAAAAGACTTTAAAAAAAATAATGAACTTCCATCTGGTTAATAGTTTGTTTATTGTGTCTGCTAAAAATAAGTTAGGCTGCTTGCAGGGCACTGTCTAACCTAAGGGGTTTGAGGCCACAGAGCTGAGTTCAGATCACAGTCCTGTGTCTGGCTGGGGTAGTGTGTTTTCTCAACACTCCCTAGCTCTCGGTTTCCTGTGGGTCTGGCAGAAAGACCCTTCGGGCATCTTTCTCATTCAGCTCAGTATCCCCTGGGGGCAAGTCTGGCTTCTCTGAGATCAGTGTCTCTCTTAGGTTGCTCAGGCTGCTGTTTTCTTTCATTCTGTAATCATCTAGGTGCAGGGCTTCTGGTGTCTCTTTGTCTTGTGGCTGCTTCTTTCGATTTCTAGGAGGAGATGAAATAGTGTTGATCAGGGCTGCTAAGTGATTGGGTCAGGACCCCACAGTTAGAGAGCTTGACGGGAGATCTTTGTTCAAAAGTGGCAATGGTTTCCACTTTTATATCTATCATCTCTCTGTAAGGCTGCCCAGGAGCTAAGCTTTGATTGCCAGCCTTTCTCCCTTAGAGATGAGGAAGTATGGCATTTGAAGCCAAAGAAGCACATTTATCTATCTGCATTGTACATCTAAGCCATTCGGAGCCTTGTGACTTTTCTCCAAACCATGCTATCCTGGCCTCAGGGCTGTCACCATATTTAGTACAGGTTCTCACGTGCCATGTTCTATTCCTAAGACACTGCCAGAAATTCCTACTGACCTTCTATCTCTCACTCTACTTGTTTCTCCAAACAGGTTTACCCACACCATTAGCCATGCATGTAAGACCCAACCCTACACATGGCTCTCACTGCCTGCTTCCTCAACCTGACAGTCTTTCCTCTAATTCTTGAAAATCTCTCTTTTCCCCAAGCTGGTTTACTCAAGGAACTCTTGGGCTTCCCGAAGGCCATGGTGGAAGGATACCAGAAAATCTGCCTGGCCCACGGGGGAGCAGGCCTATGTCTGCAGCTCCAGTGGACAGCCACCTTGTCTCTCAGTTGAGCTTGCTGAGAGGAATGCTTCCTGATGGGGTAAGAGGGGCTCGGACCATTTAAAGGGCAATACCCCCTGAGTCATTCCAACTTGCTGGCCAGGGCTAGGGGATTGTAATGGGGGTGCGGGTGGGGGGCAAGAGCTGCTGGATTATTTGTTTAATAGCTTTGGTCCCTGACAGCTACCACCAAAAAATGAAGAGCCAGTTTCCCTAAGTGACTCCTTAGATTGCCATCTAGGAAGGAAGCCCCACTCCTACCTCTGGAGACCCACTCCAGACCACCTCCTCACCTGTTTGCCAGGATGCTCCTTCTCAGGAGGAACAAGCTTATCACCGCCACCAGGACTGCCAGAACCAGGATGGAGTAATTCCAAGGAGCCGCTGAGGAGGGACACACAGACAGACACATCCTCAGGCCAGGTGCCACACAGACCCACTCACAATTGGGGCTTGGGCTCAGGCCTGTCTCTGAGCATTCAACTGTTCCCTGCAAAGGAGACTCCCATCACAACCCCTTGCTCTGGGGGACTCCCCGACTGACCAGTGGGTGGATGGATGGGGTGGAGATGGGGTCTCTGCTCTGGACCAGCCCTGATACTATGGGGAGACAGCACTGTGTCTGGATACTAGCTGAGTAAAGGGGGTGTGAGTGGCAAGGAGGAGGAAGTGGGTCACCTTGAACTAGGAAGAAAGAGGAGCGAAGGAGAGGGAAGTGGTATGACAGGCTAACTGGATGCAGTGACTGCCTGCCACAGGTAGCAGGCAAAGTGGCAGGTTGGGCTGTGGGTACTCAGGGCATGTCAAACTGTCTCCAAGAAAGGCAGGCTCCGGGCTCACATCTCTTACTTCCCCCTGCCAAATGGGTCCTCCACCAAATGATCTGACAGTAAATTCCTTCCCTTCTTGCAAGGGTTTTCCCCACGGCAAGCTTTCCTCGGAGTGAGACTTTCCTTGATTATGTATGTTATCTACCTTACCTCACAATCTCTGCTTCCGCTCTGCCCCCCAGCATCCACCTCCCCCCCCCCCCACACAAACACACACACACACACACACACACACACACACACACACACACACACACACGCACGCACGCACGCACGCACACACGCTGTATTGAGAATTGAATTTAGGGATTCTGAGACATGGTTTCACTAAGTTGCTAGGCTGGACTTCAACTCTGTGTGGCTCAAGCAGGCCTTGAACTTGTGATCATCATGGCTGAGCCTCTTGAGTAGCTCTACTTGCAGACCTGGGCTACTGGGCCCAGCTTGCCTCTTTTTTACTATGCACTGGGAACATGTCATACTTTTAGTTGTTGGACACTCTGTGTGGGTAGAGATTTGTGTTTTGTTCACTGCTGTAATCCCAGTGCTAGGGACTGTGCCTAGCACACAGTACTATTTAATAAATAGTAGAGGTGATTGATAGCTGACTAAGTGGCCCATACCCTGAGAAAAGGGGAGTGAGTGGGCTCAGCTCAACCCCTCTGTGATGAGACGTCTAGCCTCACTCTCTTTTGGAGAAAATGTGCCACTTGGTGGGGTAGAAGAGAGTGCCAAACTGCTCCACCACCCCTAGGCCCCTATCACTTACCATCTTCTGCACGAAAAACCCAAATCATTTCTTCCAGAAGTTCCTGGGGCACCTCAGGGCTGACTGCAGCTCCCTCCACACTGTGGTCCATGTCCCTGCTCCTGGTTGAGATGTTTCTGGGATGTGAACAGACAAGTCTTGAGGCCCCAGCTGTCCTCCAGGCCTCTCAGGTTCTGACCTCTGAGCAGACAACTCTGGCAACAGTAGATAGCCCACCTTGCCCCTGGTTTACCTTTCCTCCTTGTCCAAACCAGTAGTCCTATAGCCCACAGTTTTAGGACTGATCGAGCCTGAACTGAGGCTGACTATGATAGTGAAGGCATGACCATGTTCAGGAGACCCAATCAGGAGGATTGATAGCCCCCTCATTAGCCATTTATTACCAGTCTCTGGGTGTGAGCTAGCATCTTTGTGACAGTCAGGGAAATCTCATGGAATTTGCATACAGACCCCTAGCTTCTACCACCCAGGGGGCTTAGAATGTGGTTCTAGAGCGGCTAGGCTCTTCTATAACCTGCCTACTCCATGTGTACAACGATGCATTTACAGAGGGTCTTGATTTGTGACTTTCATTGTTCTATTACTATAAAACTTCGTGAGGCCCTTGGGAGGCCGATCCAGGAGAATCTCTGTGAGTTCAAGCCCAGGTTGGTCTCTACAGCAAGGTCCAGGCCAGCCAGGGCTCCATACTGAGACACCCCTCCATACCCCACGCCCCTCTCAAAGCAACAACTAACTGTAACTGAGATCTGTGTTCCTGGACCATGGTCCTTATATTTGGCTCCTGGATAAACCATTTCTTACCCCCTTTGAGGTGTGTGTGGGTGAGTAGTGGGGGTGGGGGTGGGGGAGCATTGTCCCTTATAGCTAGATGGTAGATAGATAGATACATGGATAAAGTAAGAATATGATGCCAGGAGCAGGTGGGGCCTGAAGTCGGCAACCATGGAGGAAGGAGTGACTCAAATCTTTATTAAAATTCATAGTGTGCAAAAGAAGGAAGGGACAAAGATGCATAGGCCAGTGTGAGGCTGTGCCATAGCAGGCTGGGGACTCTTGCAGAGTCCCCAGCTCTGCAACTCCAATCCTATCTCTAACCTAATTATTTCACCCAATCCACCTCACGCCTCCGCAGTAGCCAATCACAGGCACCTGATGAAGCCTGGCCATCTTGGTCTCCCTCTGGGGACTGACCCATCTGCTGCCCCCCGCTGAGCAAGGAGCTGGAAGAACTGTCTTCCTGGGGTGCTGCTGTGGAGAGGTGCTGAGTTGGTAAGCTGGGTTGGTAAGCGCTACCTCTCTACTCAAGAGAACTGTTTTGTCTTTTTCTTTTGGGGGGGAAGCGGCCTGCATGGCGTGGTGTGGGGTGGGGTGGGGTGAAGATAATGACCAAAACTGATTTCTGTGAACCACGCTCTCTCAGACGGTCCCTTTAGTTTGAGCCTGTTTCTGTCCCTGGGAAATAAGGCAGGTGAAGCTGTAATCAACTGAGCCTTAGATCCCTTAGAACAGGCATATGCGTTCACATGCATACTTAATACTACTTCACCCAAGATTTTCTGTACCTGTATTTGAAGAAACAGTGAGGTTAGTTTTGACAGCATATTTCAGTGGAGACAGTACACTTAAAGTATTATTTCAATGTGATTGGTGTTAAAAATTGTTGAGGTGTTTTAGGATTTTTGATGCCAGGCCTTTGAAATAGGGTGTAAACTTTATGCTTGGAGCATGCTTATGTTGAGGCCCACCAGCCACATTTCAAGCGCTCAGCGACATGTGGCTGGTGGCCACTGTACTGAGCAGTTCTGACCTTGACCTGCTGCTGGTCCTCCTGACTGCTCACTCTACAGGTTCTTGTCATCTTCAAAAACTTAGTAATCAAAAATTTAAAAACCTCATGTTTTAAGTAAGTTTACAGGTTAGTGTGAGACCCCATTCGTATCATCTCAACTGCACGTGGCCTGTGGGCAGCAAATTGAACACTCCTTGCAGATTAACCTAACCAAGAACTCAAAACGCTTGTGAAAATACTAACTCTGGGTGGGTAAACTGGCTCAGCTGGTAAAGGTGTTTGCCATGAAGCCTGACAGCTGAACTGAGTTTAATTCCCAGGCCCTACATGGTTGAAGGGGAGAACCAAATCTCATAAATTGTCCTTTGGCTTCTACATGTGTGCCATGGCATGGATGCACTCCCCACACATACCAAATAAATGTAATAAAAACTTTAAAAACTGTCCTCAAGGGGGACACGCCATACCCACTTATAAAAACTGAAAGCACACACAAAACAACACATGTTTTCCTAGAACAACTTTTAAGGGACATGTTACATTAGGATAGTTGCCTCTGAGAAAGGAAGAAACGGGGAGTGAGATCAAAGAAAATTAAAATAAATAATTGAAGACATGAAACAGAAGAAGGGTAAAGAATAGATCTGTCATGAAAACATGCCCTGGGCACTCATGAGAGCTGCCAAAGGCAATGAGACCACATGGTCTCTAGGGCAGAGGTTCTACAGCTCTGCCTGAGACAGCCTTTGTATGTGCAGCCTGGAACTTTCTGAAACAACTGAGTGGCAGACAGCCAAAGGGAAACAAAAGGACCAGACTGACACCAGAGTTTTCTCTGGCACTAAGACCTCTTGAAAAACCAATGACAGACTGGAAGGGAATATTCTGACATAAATGTAAGAGCTAAGCTTTCTCAGATATGAGGTATGAACTGTGGGGAGAAAGAGAGGCCCTTGGGGGCTGGAGAGATGGCTCAGGGCCCTTGTTCTTGTAAAACATCTGTTCTCAGCCTGTGGATCTGACCCCTTTGGGGGTTGCATATCAGATATTTGCATTACCACTCAGAGCAGAGGCAAAATTACAGTTATGAACTAGGAATGAAATAATCTTATGGTTGCAGGTCACCACAACATGAGGAACTGTATCAAAGTGTCGAAACAGCTTTTCCAGGTTCTGCAGCCATCTGAGCAAAATTGTAGAGCTACCCAGTACATTCCATTAAAAAAAAAAAAGGGGTGGTGGTGGTGGTGGTGGCTGGAGAGATGGCTCAGCAGGTCAGTGAAGAGCGCTTGCTGCTCTTACAGAGGACCTGGGCTGGATTTCCAGTACTACACAGCAGCTCACAACCATCTGTAATTCCAGTTCCAGGAGATTCAGTACTCGGATACTGGCTTCTGAGGACACTGTACATTCATGCTGCACAGACATACGTGTAGGCAGAACACTCATACACATAAAATCATTTCTTAAAAAGTAAAACTCAGATTCCCAGAAACAGTAAAGTTGAGTTGTTCTTATGATACCTGGCACACATTATCATTTTTTTATAAATGAAGTATTTTTATTTATTATGTATATAGTGTTCTGCCTACATGTGTCCCTGCAGGTCAGAGAGGACACCAGATCTCATTACAGACGGTTGTGAGCCATCATGTGGTTGCTGGGAATTGAACTCAGGACCTCTGGAAAAGCAGCCAGTGCTCTTATCCTCTGTGCCATTTCCCCAGCCCACACATTATCATTTTTAAATGTCATTATTAAATTAATCTCCATGCTTCCTTTGGATGTCCTTGTCCTGTTCATGATCCTGTCCAGGACATCACATTATTGTGAGATGCCATGGTCCCTTTGGCCCTTCTATCAATCCCTTCATTTTAAACAGGCCTTAACCATTGCTGGGATTCCTGTCACAGAGCTTGGGCCACCCATCCCCACAGCAGGCTGAGATCACTTACCCTGGATCTGGGATTCCTGGGACCTTAGGTTGGGTGGTATGGCCCTGGTTTCTGTGTTTTCCTCTTCTTCCTCTCAGGAACCTAGAGCAGTCTTTTCATGAAACTCTGTCCAGGAATGCCCAGTTATGGCTAGGCAATCCACCTCCAGAGCTCACAGCAACACGGGCCCATTTGGTAGCTCTGCCCCTAGCACACGCCCAGGTCTGGTGCCTTAGCTGCCACTCCAGGGTGAATGACCTCTTGCATGCATGACCTCCTGTGTCAAACTGACTCCACTTGACTCACAATCTGAAAGCACCAGGAACTCAGTATGATCTGTTATTACAGAGTGGCCACTCCAGCCCTCTGACTCTTTATTGTTATCAATCGTTAACTACAGAAGGAGTCAAGGCTCCTTCCTTTTACAGCCTGTGCTTTCTCATGGTGAAGGTCAACATATAGGGAAGGTGATCATATGAACCGAAAGGAACCGTAAAGTCAGACCTCAGAAGCCGGGGGTTGGGAGAGGGAGATTGTGTGATCAGGGATCCACAGAGGAGGAAGCAGGCCCAGGAGTAAGGCCAGATCTAGTCACTTCTGACAGTTGCCAGTGTACACATGTGGAAACAGGCTGACTCTAGGTGAGTGTCAGTCCAGAATCCTCTCTGACTTAAGCAGTGGAAAGTGTGTGGATGGCAGTGTGGTCTGGAGGAAGAGACTCAGTGGATCTTTGAGTTGCATTGAATGTCACACCCTGTGTGTTATAATGCATCATTCAGTAACCGTTGATTACCTGCAGTGGGGATAGACTGTGGACAGGGCAAATAAGATGCTGCTGGCCCAGGGCAAAACTCCAGGGAGATGAACAGGCAACAAAGCATAAGCACAGCCATGATGATTTGGGTGCTGTCTCCAGAACCACATGGTAGAAGGAGAGAACCAACTCCTAAAAGTTGCCCTCTGACTCCATTTGCACTTGGCGTCACCTATGCTCCCACACTCACAAATATCATAATAACCACAAACATATTATAATTAATACAACACAAAAAGATGGGCTGGTGAGATGGCTCAGTGGGTAAAGGCGCTTGCTGCCAAGACTGACAACCTGCGTTTGATCTCTAAGACCTACATGGTAGAAGGTGAGAACCAACTCCTACAAGTGGTCCTCTCATCAGTGCACAAGTGCTGTGACATGCATGTGTACACACACACACACACACATACACACACACACATACACAATAAATAAATATAGAGATTAAAATATAAGAATAAAGAGGTAGGGTGTGGGGACCACTGTTATATCACCATATTAAAGAATGAATGATGAGCTAAGCGTGCAAATCCCTGAAAAAGTGTATT